ATTTTATTTATATATATTTTGTTGATGTTGTGCAGAGTGTACGTGTTTCAACATTACTTGCAGCCATACTTCCCAGCATCATTATATTTATATTGCTGTGCGTATTTTCCTTCTTTATTACTTTACCAAATGTCCTCGATATTAATTTGCATTAATCTGATTGCAGAACATTAATCGATTTACTTTTATGCAAAAAAATTACTTGATGCCAAAATTTTTAGGCTCGTTAATAAATTCTGTTTCAGATTTTAATATCTTTTCTCTAGTAACTTTACTTACAAATGGTTTGCTTCTTGCTACTGGAGCTCGATATTCAGATTTTTTTATTTGTTTTTAAAAGAACTTCTCCTCTGATAATTTCACCAAGATCTGACGCAGTTGAAGAAGAGCTAAAAAAGGATTTCATATAATTTTCTTCAAAATATTTTTCTCGTTTAGCTTCAATGACCTCCCAAAACGATACTTAATTTCTGCAGTTTTAGTCGTTTTAAATATATTTACAATATATTGAATAACGTGAATTTATGTATCATACTTCATATATCACAAAGGGGTCTTCCATTTCCGAAGAGTTTTATAATGAGATTTCTGACAACACTTGTTTTCGATAAAATGAAGAATTATACGAACAGTTTTTAAAATGATCAAAAGTAAACAGTAAATTATATGTTGTGACTACAGTGCTATGGTAGCGAGGGGAAAAGAAACAGCGAAAAAGAGGGAGGAAAAAATATGGAATATGAAAAAAGAAATGGTTTAAGAGAATGAGTATTTTTCTTCAATAATTTTAAGCAATTTTGAAATTTGAACAAATACTGTTATTAAGATACTATAATACGCTGAACAAGTATTAATTTAGAAGTTAAACAACAAAAATCAACGTTATATTTTCAAATTTTCACAGGACTAGTTTTGATGGTTTTACTGAACCATCATCCTCAGCTGCTAAAGATCAAATGAACTAGATGAGATATAGTGATTAGATAAGATAAGCAGGGCCTGACTTAGCCTAATTGGCGCCCGGGGCAAAAACTTCCTTGGAGGCCCCCCTTCTGCTTTAGTACTTCAGTGATGAAGAACCGAACTTTATGGAGGTATTTAAATTTTTATAATAAATTTTCTATTCGATTCGGGGCCCCCCTCTGATGTGAGGGCCCAGCGCAACTGCCCCGTATGCCCCTGTCTTACTCAGGCTCTGAAGATAAGAATGGCTAGACAGGAGTTAAGCTACTGGCGCCACCTGTTGATGAAACGAGAACTAAAACATAATTTCCATAAAGGCTGAAGGCAAAGATGGATTGGAATTAGGGTCGTTAACTAAAACAGAATGAATTTTTTTGAATATGAAATGCCTCTAGAAAATCTAATTATCTAGAGGATTCTATAATAGATCTCTAGAAAATCTTATTATCTTCCATAAATGAATTAGATTTTCTGAAGGCATTTCACATTCGAAAAATCTTTCTGTTCTAGTTAACGACCGTAATTTCAATCTATCTTTGCCTTCAGCCTTTGAGGAAATTATGTTTTAGTTCTCGTTTCATCAACAGATGGCGCCAGTAGCTAACTCATGTCTATCCATTCTTATCTTATCTAATCACTATATTATATCTCGTCAGCAACTGAGGATGATGGTTCGGTAAGACCGGTTAATAAATCCTGCGAACCTTGCGGTATATGCAGGGATTAATGGAACTTCTATTTAGGATAAATTCACCACATACTGTCCCTCCACGGCCGAAGATCCATTGTCCTCGCCAACAATATCCTTTTATAATCAAATCAAAAATACAAATCATAAAATTTACATGTTACATCTTTTACGTAACAAATAATCCTGTTAGATTACAACATTTTAAACAAACTTTATACAACTTGTATTTCATCATAAAATAAATCATTTATACAATTTGTATTTCTAATTAACATAGATCATTTCTTTTAATAACAAAATTTATTTAATAATTAAAAGAGACGAAAAATTCTTTCTACAACCCAATAAACAAAACTATTAATCTCATAATAACTTATTACATTTTCAAACAAAAATACAAATCTTTGCATATATAATTTAATAAAACCATTAACCATAATCAGTTCTTCTATCAAAAATCATATTGTCTTTTACACTCCAATCTTTTATCTAACTAGAATGTCTAGAATCCAAACAAGTTTATATTTTTTATTTCTAAAAGCCATAATTTGTCCTTCTGTTAATAAATCATATTGCCTTTTTACACATGAACAATTTTTATCCAAGCTAGAATGCCGCACGTCTAACCCCATTTTATACTTATTATTTGCATTAGTACAATTTATACATACTGGACTATTTTTACAATCCCAATGGTTACGTCCTTTTTGCGCACAATTAGCACATATTGAATCTTTAGTACATCTTTTGTAAAAATGACCAAATTCCTAACATTTGTAGCATCTCACTACATTCAAATATTCTTTTACATTTATACGGTACCAGTTAAAATTGATTTTTCCTTGATTAATAATATTTTTAAACTTATTAGGTTGGATTTCTACCACCCAATGAGCCTTATTATTCTTTCCTTTTATCCTAAATAGTGGAATAAAACCACCATCTTCAAATATAGGATTTTGCTTAATAACAGCTTCCTGTAGTTCTTCTTTTCCAATTTCCATATCAATATTGTATAATATAATTTTCGGATTTTTCTTAATAGGAGCTCTAACTTCAATATCCTCTTTTAACAATTCATTTGTTTTAATTTCCTCTTCTAATTATCAATTTTTCATGATTTAAACTCATTACAATTCCACCATATTTATTTTTTAATTCTAATCCCTATTTTTAACTTTGCAGGTCTAGTCGACAATTCATCTTCACTTCTCTGAAGACACTCTTTCACTTTAGGATAAATAAGGCCACAGTTTCATCTTTCCTCTTAATTTTTATCTTTCTTTGATACGACTTTTTTTCCTCCATTTCTGTTCTTTAATAAGATCTGCAAAGACTTCTCTGTCTGTGTTTCTGAACTACATCCAATTTTCCCTTTAAGTTTTCAATTTCCAACCTTGAGAAACTATAAAGTAAATAGCGCTTCTTGCGCTTTAAAAACTTCTTCTTAGGGAACTGTTACTCTAGTGCCTCTACTAAACAAGTTCAATATCACTAATAATAATCAGCTTCTTCTATCATTCTTTTGAGGAACCCTCGGTCTACATATTATCCATTTTGATCTAAATCAATTGGGACCCTGGGCTTCCCCAATTGAATTTCTTTGGAGTTTGGATTTCGACTCCTCCCTTAGGAGGAGGAGCCTCAGACCACGACAGGTACCAAACTCCTGGGAAGTTTTTCTTATTGGCTTTCCAAATATACTTTTATCACAAATAAAATACTTTTCATTTTTCGCAATCGAGCATTAATATAGCCAATAACTTTCCCTGAGGGGATGTTGTTTCCCTGAGGATGATGGTTCGGTAAAACCATCGAAACTAGTCCTGTGAAAATTTGTGAAAATTGTGAAAATTTGATTCCCTGTGAAAATAATGCTGATTTTTGTTGTTTGACTTCTAAATAAAGGAAGTACTTCCGCAGAGAACCCGGTAAATGTCAACATCGCCAATTTTGGCGATAATAGTTCAAACATGGTAACCTAGCTAATTCATCCTATTCGCTTGTGCGAAGGTTGTCGTTCGCATTTGAGATTATATTATTCTTCTCTTATTATTGTTATTTTTTCTGAATTTTTAACACGATAGATAGAAATATTTTCGCATAATTAAAGAAGTTTTCGTCGAAAGATGCCGGTTCTCGGCTCGTCATTCGGGATCAAAGGAAGAAAAATGCGGGAGGGGTAAAGTAACATGCTGGTTACGTTATGTTCTTATTATTAACAGCTGTAAGCACGCAGAACCATGAGGTTTCCAAATCCTAAATAATTTTAAATGTATAAAGTTCTAGTTTTATTATTAGCAATGCTACTGAAGAATTTCATTACTGTTGAATTTTTTTGTATTTGAAATATTATGAAAAGGCAGGTTTTTCAAGTAAAATGCTTTAAGCGTATGCAAGTAACTGAAGAAAAAAAAAAAAAAACTGAAAACTATGTAAATGGATGTATTAAAGGTCATGCCGTCCTTAATTTATTACATGGGCATGGCTCTTACCGAAATCATCAATCAACAGGCCAAGTACTTAATAATAAAAATGACACTTGTAATAAAATATAGAATTCTATATGAATTAGGAAAATACATATAAGTAAATGTAAACGTAAGTATAGCAATACTAATTTTTTATTTTTTGAATGAATTTCTACTTCCCGTTATGCTTAACATTGTTTTCTGTGCTAACTTGAATTTAATACAAATTTATTTTTGTATATCACGTTTAACCTGTTAGTTTTACATCTATATACTTATTATCTGTGAAGTTTTACTACCATTGTCTGCTAACTTGAATTTACATACACTAAAAACCACGTTTACGGCTCGGCTCATCCTCGATGAACCGCGAGCTTGGCGAGTAAAAATGCAACGGCGCCAACGGGTTCTTTCCCGAAGCGCCAACGGGTTCTCTGCGAATGAAAACCCTAAATAAATACTGTTATATTTATTTGTGGTATTTTACAGATAATATCACTAGCTTTAAGGATTTGACTTTTCCTACTATTTTAACGTATCGTTTGTGGGCACTACTTAAAAGATGCTCTTTGGTGTATAACGTTCGTAGTAGTTTGAAATGGTGACTACTGATTGTGCTTTGTCATAGCACAATCAGTAGTCAATCAGTAGGAAGAGCTGGACGAGTCCTTTTGCGAGAAGTTCCGGAACTTTAACGTTTTTCTTTTGGGAAAATAAATTTTATCAAGCTATCATCGGTTCCGAGTGCATTCAGTTAATTAGAAACCCGTGCGCAAGTAAAAATATGTACATATATGGCTCTAAATTATATTATGTATTTAAATCGTAATTGCTTTGGCAGAGGATATGCCTTATGTATATTGAAACAGATACGGTTTTAAATTTTCAAGAATAAGTATTCGTTTATTTTTCACAGAAGAACACTATTTACAGAAGTTTCGGAGTTTCTTGCCTTTTCAGGATTAATCTTCTTGCTAACTTGTCAATACAAGGATTCCAATCAGCACACACACTATTAAAATCACCACAGCTATGATAAGGAATTTGGTCTGTAAAACAAAAACATCGTTTAGATGCCAATTTTTGATTGAAATTATTGTCGTTGCTTTAGTAATGCATGTATGCACACTTACTTTCCGTATCTTTCTTTGCTTCCGCACTGATCTTTCCACTTTTTTATTGCCATCTTTGACATCAGCTGACGCCAGAGCGACATGCCGCTCTATCGAATCGACGATATCTCCCTGTCAAAACAGAACAGAGCCACTGAAATTTTAAACAATGTATTATTTAAAATGTGCAAAAAATTACAAGATGTCGTAAAAAGTGATATCACTTTGCTTTTAAATAATTTTTAAGAGGATAAATATATTTGTTATTGGGGTGGGGTTGTTGACTAATGCTGCCTTGCCTGATGTATAGTCATGGAGGTAGGAAGTTAAATGGAGTGGCCCTAAACCGGTTTTCCCATACCCTGCTTTGAAGCACGTTGGATCCCTTCATTGGTGACCAAAACCATGGATAATTTACCATTAAGTTCAATGAGTTTCGACACGATCGGATGTAAATACTTTGTAATTACGGCGTAAATATGCATATAAATGTATATATTTTCTTTTTCTACTATACCTCAGAGTCCTAAGTATATGAAAAGAATACATTTTTACTTCCTTGTACGAAGTAAAAAGGAAGTATTGTAATCGCGAAAAGCTTCAGGCAGCATATTTCAACGAAATATCCACTTTGACCGCTTTCGAATGCAATTTAACGATGTTTTTTTGCGTTATATCTGTACGTAAGGACAGATAACAGACTTTTTTTTTTTTCCTCTCAAAAAACTAAAAAACCTGCTTTAAAATGAATTCTGAAGAGAATTTTTAGTGGCGTCTGTACGAACGTATGTACGTACGTGCGTACGTACGTATCTCGCATAACTCAAAACGATAGCCTCAGAACGTTGAAATTTTGTATATAGACTACTATAACATGTAGATGTGCACCTCGTATTTTGGTTTCATCGGTTCGCGCCAAACGTATATAAATATATTTATAAATATATCCACTCTGTTACCCGGCTCAGTGATCTCAGTTTCTTTACTCTTATACGTTTGTAAATTGTACATTTTTTGCTTTAAAAATGATTGAATTGTGTTGTTTTTATCTTCCGGTTAAGGGTTTTATGCCATAAGTAAATCGGTATGCAATATATTTATAATTATCAACAATTTTAAAATTGTTTAAGTGCCACTAAGCCTAATTTGATGGCGGCCATTGCTCTTGTTTACATCTGAAACAGCTGAGTAGCGGATTTGTTGCCAATCTAGAGAAACTTAGATTCGCAACACAAAGATAACGCCTTCATTTATTATTTAAATCATGCTTAATCCTTTCTGGAATTTTTTCGAGGAAATAGGGTTTAGATTTACTTCTTAATTTTTAATACGATATTTTGAGTTTTTATGTTTTTGCCTTGTCGCGAAGTGAAAACTGAATTAATTGAATGAGAATACTCAATCGTCTGTGAAAAATGTTTCTGTTTCTTTTTTTGTTTTGTTTGCTTAATTTCTTTTATGCATAGTTTTAGCTTTATTATAATACTTGAATAGAACATGTGGCAACGATTAGATAATTCTTTAAATGATATACATTTTGTGCATTCTGAGTTATAATATGAAGGAAATATAATACAGTTAAGTAAACCTAGCGCCAGAGTGTCGCTATGGTAAACAAAGTGAATTTTAAAGAATGCATTTATTCTATTGTGGTTTATGCGCTATCGGCGAAGTAGGTTTAAATCAATCTAATAAGTTTAAATAAAATGCAAGAGAAAATGCGTATAATTTAATATTTCGTACAAGGAAGTCATGTGGTGTACACATCAGATTTTTAAATAACATTTCATTCTGAACGCAATTAAATGCTATACTTGTCACAGAACAGTTTGCTCAGAATGGTTTAATTTGAATGAAATATTTTCACAGTTTCGTTAAATCCATTAGAAAGAAATTTTAAGGTAATTCGATTTTATTCGGTTAAGGATTACAAAAATTAAGATCAAAGTTTATTGTATTATTAATATTAAAATTATGCATTATTTCTTTTCTATTTATAAAGCTTCTTCCTAAAATACTTTCTCAAATATGACATGATTTTTTAGCTTCTGAGGCATCTTTTATACGAAAAAATATAAGTCAGTTTATAATTAATGCTCTATTCGGTCCATTTCAAATTAGAGCACCTTTTATTTTAAAAGCGAAATACTTTAAATAGTATTTAACTTTCTCTGAATATTTCTGAAAATGGATAAAATAAGGATTTTTTTTAAATATTATTTAAATCTTATAACCGAATTATCATAAAATGTAAAGGGAATAATTCTTTAAATTATACTTATCAGATTTTTTTTATCCTTAATTTCAACAATACATATTCCAAAACTCTTCTGTATTACTTTCTTAAGTACGCATCTCATAGAAATTGCTTTACAATACCTTTTAACACATTACTTTCCAGTACGAACAATTATTGCTTAACTAGTTTTATAACATATTTGTCAACAGGATGCCAATTTATGTTTACAATTCAATTTTAAGGTTATTATATATTTAGATAATAGCTATAATCTTTATAAATTTAGATACCTCTAATAATTAGATTTTTTTCCACTTAACTTTCACTTTGTTTTATGAATGCATAAATCCTTCATTTCAATACATTTATAATATTTAATAAATATTTGCGTATTTGTTAAATGCAGATACACGCTTTTTGCAAGCACATGCATAAATTCCATTTTTCATTTCCGGCATGTGCAAATCTTTAATTTCTGTGCATTCACTATATTTTTCGAGTAAAGTAATTTACACTAATTTTAAAAAAGTACGTTTTATAATAATACCTGGATGTAAAAAAAAAATTTATTTTATTTAAAACATTTTAGCGTTTGGAACATAAAATAAAAGTAGCGAATACTCTATCAAAGGGTATCAAAAGGTGTATACAATTTTAAAGGTACGGTGAGGTATTTTTCATTCTTTAAGCATAATATTTTTGCTAAAATCTATATTTTTGTAGTTCAACAGCTTAGAGTTTTATAAAACAAATTCATAATCAAAACCGAACCCACCAGCGGCCGAGCGGTAAAATCGCTGAACACTGGTAGTTCGGTCCGAGGTTCGAATCCCGCGAACGGGCTGGCTGCATGGGTGTTTTCGTGGTTTTCCCCATGTGTAACGTGTATACGAGCCAGTGTCCCTTAGAAAGTCGTCCACGAAGGCATCCCTTCCCTTAGGCAGATAGCCCTAGTGTGCTTTGCCGTATTCTCAATAAACACAACATAATTAAAACCGCTGTTAGTTATCGAAAAATAACCAAGATGTGATTTTTGCGTAAATGTCACTAAACTATACAAATTGCTATTATCCCTCACACTAGGAATGTTTCTTTTATGCAGAAGTGTCCTGTTTGCGTATTGGCAGACCGCACATTGAGTTGAACAGTGTTAAGCGAATTTCGCTTACTGCGCATGCTTGATGGTGTACCTTTGGCGCAGGGAGAAATACTGGCGACTAAGCAACCCTACGTTAGCTTATTCGTGATCTCCATGGCTGTCGAATGTGTTTCGAGTGATGTTTAAATTGCAATGTTGTGAACTTTGCTTATTAGTTATTTTACGTCCATGCCGATTGCACTTGCTTATTTTTCTAATATATGTTTCATTTTAATTTGTCAATAACATGCTTTAATATTTGTTAACATATTTTCGTAATAATTCGTTTTTTTTAATGTAATTTGTTTACATGTTACAATTCAGTAATTGTAACTGGAGTATCTCGCTTAGTTTGTTAGCGTATATTCGCGCTTTTTATTTTCTCATTTCAAAAATTTAATAACTAACATTAAAGAATTGTAAATTTCTTCATGTTATTTGCAAGCACTTGTTATATTCCTCAGTGTTTCTTATGTTATGTACGAATGGAACGTATGTAAATCCTGAATTGTTTTTAAAATTTGCTTAAAAGCATAATGAATAAATTTTCAACTAATATATCCTAAATTACAGTCTTTTCTGAACGAAAATTGTACAGTTCCAAGGAATGTGCAGAATTTCATAAGTATTATATTTTACATTTTGAATGTAAACACTGCTTCACATTACTTCGCAATAATTTCAGCTTTCTAGTTGTTTGAGCAGTAGAGCAAAAAATAGTATTTTAACACAGTAATTAATTTACATTATACTCTACGAAGATTTAAACTGCAGATTTGTTTACAATTAGGTGGCGATACATCTACCATATACCGTATTTATCTTCTTTTCAAATCGCGCCGACATAGTAATTACGCCAAATTGTTTTCTGGGCATGCGCAGTAAGCTACATTCGTTTAACACTGTTCAACTCAATTTGCGGTCTGCCATTACGCGTCTCGTTTTTCGATTTGTATGGAACTGTCGTGTGCCAAAGTACCATCAGAGCGCTGTCAAGCGAGCTTGTGAATGTAAACAAAAAACACCCCATCTGGTGACCGAAGCTTCGGAGCGGTGCTTCACTTCTAATGGCGGTTTGGCCACTACTTCCTTTCTTACCTCCATGTGTATAGTCAGGCCAATCGTACGAATTTCCTGGTGGCAAGGAGCGTTAGATTACGCTTGTCGTTGCCTTGAGCATCTTACATGTGGACTTGGATTTTGGATTATTCAGTTATGGCTAAGCACACGAGGGCTATCTGCCTAAAGGGAGGGATGCCTTCGTGGAGGACTTTCTAAGGGAAACTGGCTCGTATACACGTTACACATGGGAAAAACCACGAAAACGCCCATGCAACCAGCCCGTTCGCATGATTCGAACCTCAGACCGAACTACCAGTGTTCAGCGTCTTTACCGCTCGGCCGCTGGTGGGCCATCTTACATGTGACAGTGGGATTTAGCTTATTCAATTTTGACGGAGAGCACCCCGGGGGGAGGGACTGGTGCGAGGGTCTCCTTCCCCCTCTTCTCCTACCACCAACCTCTCGAGAGAACTTTCGGTTCTTCGTACATTTAGAGTGCCCCCATGCTGCACGGACACTATACATTTACAAACATCCATGCCTTCCGCGGAATTCGAATCCGTGGCCTTTGGCACGGCACTCAGCGACGCTAACCAATCTATCGGTTGGGCGGCAGGATAGATATTACATGTGAGATAGATAGGAGTAAGGGGAAAAAACAGGGAGGTTAGATCATAAGAATGTCTTATAAGTTTAACAATTTTACTGTTTTAATTAAGTTTGTAAATTTGATTGGTATTTCTCTTCTTTAAAATTCAATTATTCTTCCCCACCGGAGCTAGATTCAGTCGGACCCGGCTACAGTATTTTTCAGTTATTGAGTAAAATTGTAAAACAGTCGTGACCACTAGCTGATCGACATACCCTATCTGATATAGAGATTTTAATAGGATTACACAAATGAATATCTCTTGAATAAAAACTGCTCATAAATGCATAATTCCATTTAAAGAATCAAACAAATACAAGGAATTTTCAGATTATTTTCTGTTCTGGAACAAACAACAACAACAACAACAACAAAAAAAAAAAAAAAAAAAAAAAAAAAATCTGAAATTTTTCAGATTTTAAATTACGTCTTAAGGGGCGTTTTTTTAACGTTTTGAGTGTTACCTTTATTTATTAAATATCATGTTCCTTTGCACTTAAACCATAAAATACCAGTTCAAGAGCAATATCGCAAATAATTTAAATTAAGCATATCTTTAGAATTTCCGATATACACAGTCTCGCGAGCTGGAGATAAACGTATTTTTTTTTTTCTATATAACGTTGCCATTTCTCGCTTTTAAAGCATTGAGTTTGTAAATCAAAAATTCGTTAAAGTTTTACAAAATATAAAACCTATAATAAAAACAAATTCCAAATTTTGGGATTTCCAGATGCCCATATCGCAGTAGGATTTTCGTCATTCAAAATTCGATGGCTCTATGTACCATTGTTTTATCACAATGCGAGAAATATACAATCAATTTATGCAGATTTTTCATTATTTAATTTCTTCAATTTCTTCAAATATAATGCAGGACTCTAACATTTTGTGGCAACAGTTTGAAAAGTGAACCGACGTTTATGAGTCCGACGCAAAATGCCAAAACGAAAGCAATAGTCCTTCGGGACTGAAATCCCTTTGGACTAAAAAAAAAAAAAAAAAAAAAAAAAAAAAAAAAAAAAGCCAACATTAATTGACACGTTGACTTCTATGCGAGTTTGTAAGGAAATCTCCTTTTGGACACGAGCGCTGTTATACCATGCGTCAACTGTTTCCAATCGCTGGAGTATAGAACATCTGGGACAAAACATTTTGGGACATACATTCAGTTAGAAATCTTTCCTCAAAAATAAAGTATTGCTACATTATTTCTATATTCTTTTGACACCAATTGTTACGTTATTTCTTCGTTCACGTTCGTACGGGGTTCGTAGATTTGGAGTGAATAACGACGACACTTAATAAAGTATCGAAACACACTTTATTGTCCGGTATTAATCAGGACAGCCTCCAATAACACTTTTTACAGTCGTCGAAGATCTACTATAAACACGCTGACACGTTCAGCGACACAGCCTTCAGGTTATCAGGCTATCACGGTGGAGACAGCTTCCTGCAAAACAGCCGACTCTGCTTTCCGGAGTACAGCTCCCGAACATCAGCTCTTACATCTGCTTGGTCGTTCTCGGAACTCCACGTACTCTCGAGACTGTCCACTCTACAACTCGCGATGCACTCGATGACACACGAGCACAGCTCCTGACTCTTCGTTTCAGTCTTTCCCGGAGCTCAACACGCTCTCTCGACGATGCACTAACCGCGATACGCTAACAGACTCCTTCGGTGGACTCGACGACCCACTCGGCACTCGTCGCTCGGCTGTCAACTCGATCGACTCCGCAGGGAATGACTCGCTAGACGAGATTGTCATTCTCGATGAGAGACACACTCTCTTTTCGATGAAGCACACTTACTGACTGCGGACCAGCAGGGTTTATATAGCTTTCGGCTTGTGTTCGGGAACATTCTGGACTAAAGCGGTAAGAATTCGTTCCAGAAGGTTCTCCAACCGTCCATGGTATATCGCCAATTTTGTCGCCAAATGGGCGATTTCTCGCTAAATGTGGCATCCCTGCCCTCCTTGATATTTTATGGCAACCCTAAAACTGCTTTGCGGGGAAAGCCATCTTACCGCGCCTTTACATTTCGTAACAGTATCTAAGAAAGTGTATGAGATTGGAAAATTATTTTTTTCTTTAGTGACAAAGAATTGAAATTTGTTTGTGTTAAAGTTGTTGCCGCAACTTTTCGCAAAGTCTAAAAGTAACTTTCTTAAGTGAATTATACAGCAGCGAAGAAAAAACCTGTTACGAGGCTTACAAACATTCGAATAGTAGCGATGAGGAACAGTCGAGATTTTTCAGAACGGTAATTATAAGCAAAATTACATCCTCAAGTTCTGATTCGAATACTGATAAATACAGTGATAATAAATGTGATGTAGATTCTAAAGAACTTGTTAGGGAAAACGAAAACTATTACCGAAGAAAGCACAATTCAGATTAGTGAACGGAATGAGTTTAGCTGTCGGTAACAAGCATTTTCGTTCTTTTCTTTCAGCAATCAGCAATCATTTTTTCAAATACCTCCATTATCTCCTAAATATTCAAAGAACTGTCACCCGAATACAGATGAGCAACCTGATTAGAATTTTTGCTGTCACGCCGAAATGGGTGACGCGGCAGTCAAAGTGTTAATAAAAATGTATGAAAAGGCACACTAAGAAACAAAGAAATTCAGCAAGAAAAGTTTTTTTAATAACAGAATTTAGACGTGCAAAATTCCTGTTAAATATCAATAACTTGGCAATCTTTTAAAACAAATCGCTAATATATCGCATCCCATAAGTAAATCTATCTTTTAATCTACAAAAATTCGCCACGTTGTACTAAAGACGGTTGCGTTAATACGTAAGTACTTTTTCGGCTTACACCTGAAGATATAAGAATGTCAAAAACAGAACATTCCATACCTTAACTTCAATATTCGGAGACGCATTTTTAATATCGTTAGTTCTAAAATAGCATTCAAAATTCATTTATAGTTGGAAATATACTTTCTAAATTTGCGGTAAGAAATCCAGATTTAAGTCTGAGAAAAGCATAAAAAAATGGCCTATGTCGTTACATTCGCTGTTGAGTAAACACGCCTGGAATTATACACTAACTACCAATAAGTATTTGGACACCTGTGATAGAAAACAAAAACTAACTTTATTCAAAATCAATAGTTGGTTCTCCGGTATAGAGCCTCCACGAGAGGTAATTACAGCGTAGACCCTCCGGGGCATACTTTCCACAAGTCTTTGTATGACAGCTAGTAGTATTTTCTTCCACTCGGCTTGGAGAAGACATAGAAGTTCCTTCACCAATTTTGCACGGGTAGTGCACCCCTGAATTCGGCGATGCAACTTGTCCCAGAGGTTCTCGATAGGGTTCAGGTCTGGACTCTGGGCAGGCCAGTCCATTCGATGAACTCCATTGGCACCATACCAAGCCTTGGTTAACGTCGAAACATGACAACTGGCATTGTCGTCCTGAAAGTAACAGGGGTCCAACCCGTAAAACTGCCACAACGTAGAAAGCACATTGTCATCCAAAATAGTGCAGTAGGCATCGGAGTTGAGCTTACCATGAATGGGGACCAAGGGTCCCAGCCCATACCAGGAGAAACACCCCAGACCATAATTCCACCCCTCCGCCGAACTTGACTGTTGGCACAATGCATTCTGGCAGGAGACGTTTCTCCAGGTAGACGCCAGACCCCAGACCCTGCCATCCGAACGGTTAAAGGGTGAACTTTTGATTCGTCACTCCAAAGAACCCGTTTCCACTGATCTACGGTCCAATTTTCGATGTGCTTTGCACCACATTAACCGAGCAGCGCGGTTGGACTTTGTGATCAAAGGCTTATGGGCAGCAGCACGACCATGAAAACCAAGCAGATGTGCTTCCTTACGGATGGTATTCATTGAAACAATACTCCCGGATGCCTGTTGAAACTCCTCGCGGATGAGGGCCATCGGTTGGGTGCGGTTCTTCTTCCGAATTTCTCTGGACAGCACTCGTCGGTCTCTATCTCCTAGTTTCTTTGGTCTGCCGACTAGGGGCACATTCCGACAATCACCGCTCACCTTCCACTTCTTAATCACATAGGCCACTGTCGATTTTGGGCACTTTAGATCGCTAGATATGTCCATTAAGGATCGGCCACATTTGTGATACCCGATAATTATACCTTTCTCGAAATCAAAGAGCTCCGAACTGCGAGGCATCTTGCATGCGACTAAAGCCGATGCTGTTTCTTACACGATATATACCGGCGGAGTCCGTGACGTACCTTAGGACCGCAGATATAGTCATTTGCATAGGTCTCCAAATACTTATTGGTAGTCAGTGTATTTAAGGAAATAAAGCTTATAGCCGGATTTTTTCGAAAATAGTGCATAGTGAATAAAATCAGCGACTATGAAAGATAGTGATATATTTAGGTAATTTTCCAGTAAACTATTTGTACCTGATTGCTTATTAATATGGAAAGGCTAAGTAACATATCATTCAATTCCCGTAGACTAGTCTCTATCTTCAGAAGCTCTGAGCATCGTTCTTTGACATCTGTCAAGTCTTCTCTTGCTTTCTCCACTTGCACAATGTACTGAAATCAAATATAAAATATGAAATTATTTATGAAAAAGTATTAGGCATATAATAAGTTGAAATCATGCCAATTATTTGATTACTTTTGTCTTAAGGTATCTGCCTACGTAAAAAAAATGATTTCGGCGAAAAAATTAGATTTTTTTAATTGCCTAATTTGAAAGGTCAGTTTTGTAGGATTCCGAAAATGGTTTCATTTTACGTTTGTATAATTAGAAGAGAGATATAGCCAATTAACTGCAGCACTGGAAGTGAAAGCAGAAAAAGACCGGAAGTGCCATTTAAAAGGCTCAACTTAAAAGTAAACAATGTTGTTATCCGTGTTTTTTTTTTTTTTTTTTTTTTTTTTTTTTTTTTTTTTTAACCTGTTTGTTGTAATTGTGCTAAAACATTTCATTTTAATTCTGGGTACTTTTTTTTTGTTTCTGGCAATAATTATTTGCCTTAATTTTTTGAACTGGGACTGGCAACATTGCGGTTTTTTTAACTGGGTCTGGCAACATCGCGATTAGGTATAAAGACTACGTTGCTGGGTGCATATATAGCAGTTTTAATTTTTAATTCAGGGTATCTTGGATTACTTCCTGTGTTTGAACATTTAGGCATATCAATTGAACAAGAAATGATTAAAAAATTACTTTGGAATTGATAACGAAAGAATAAAGAAAACTCGAAACGTCATTCGTCGCTCATTTTCGAAGATAGCCAGAAAAAAATTAAAATCAAATAGGAAATCAAATTACTTAAGTATAAAGATATGAAGGGTGTGCTGTTGTACAAATTTGGAGAATTTTAAGTGTGTAAATACAACAGAACAGTTTTTTCTGTTAATGTGAAATCTTTAAATTTAAATGCGTTTTCTGGAAAAACTAATTTTTCTAGTGTTTTTACATACAAGAAATGTAATTACTCAAAATGTTTCTAAATGGTATCTCTATTAAAAATTTCACTAAAGTGTTTTCTATATTATTTACTAGGTTTTAAGCTACAATCTAAGTTATATTTATTAATTTGATTGTTTTATAAGTATTTCTATATAAAACGATAAGAAATATTTTACAAAAAACCTGTGTTTTTCATGTAATTACACATATTTTAGTAGTAAATTTTAGAAAGTATCATAAAACATTTTAGTTCATAACACAGATGAGTGTTGTAGTAGTATACTAAAAATAAAATTGAAATATATGCTGTGGGAAAAATATACGACGTTTAACGTAAGTGTTAAATTCTCCTAAAAATGTGCATAAAATTGCATATATTTCAAAAATTTATGAAAATATTCCTAAAAATTTACCTATTTTCATGATTTGATATTATATTTTGACTAAATAAATATATATTTCATCAGAATTCTATGTTTTTAAAGAAAAGTGCTCCGAAGGCAGATACCTTAAAAACAAATAATTCAGATGCACTGATGAAGGGGAACACCAAAACAAAAATATTCATCGATTAGTTATTATTTAATTTCACAAATTATGACAATTATGGCATTGCTAGCAACTAAAGCACTTTTAACTTACTATCAAGTTTGATGTTAAGTTTTGATACACATTCTAAATTCCAAGCAATCCAAATTAATAATTATGCTTCTATTTCTTTATCCACCAGTGCCCGAATAATTAAGGCATCCGAAAACTAGTAGTTCCTCCGATATTGGTGCAATGCGAATAGGCTGAAGCACGGAGTTTTCATGAATTTAGCCATATTTAATGTAAATACGAGCCTTTAGAAAAGACATCTACGAAGGCAGTTTACTTCTGAGATTGATATAGTTTGTTATATTAAAATAGAAACTTCAGAGTCATTTGTTCCTTTAGTTTGCCTCGCAACCATGATAACGGCAGATGCAGAAAATGGGAGCCTCTTAATATTTTTTCCCACTTCATTTCTGTGTAACTTTTATCCCTTCGTGAAAATCGCACGAATAAAGACTGACTTGAGCTACAATCTCAAATGAGGTGGAGAAAGTAACTTAAATATTATCTCGTCGACCATGAAACTGAAGCCAAACAGCACGATTTAGGGCCGGTTATGGATACGCGTGACATCAACATAAACTCATGTCATCTGTGCTTTCGTTTGATGTAACACTGATTGATTTTGATGGGGCATGTTTCATTTTTATGAACGAAAGATATAAATTATTATCGCTGTGTTGTTATTGTTATATCCCCCCCTTGCATTTAAAATTTTTTTTTAAACTTTGGAAGCTGTCTTCTACAGAATAACAGACAATATTTTCAAAATTATGGAACGTAACCATTAAAAAAGTGTGTGATAATAGACACAATCAGCTGAATATGGCAGACAAAACAATCATAGATTGAGACAATTACCTGTGGCAAGTTTGTACTCACAGCGTTCTAAAGAGAACTTTAGATAAAATCGAAGGACCTAACAAAATAGTAGACATCGACGGAAACCATTTTACGCAGCACAGAAACTAAGCGAGTCGAATACTGGTTATTTATTAAGGCGTGAGTTCCTTCAGAATACCGCAGAAACGTCGCTGAACACTGATAGTTCGGTCCGAGGTTCGAATCCCGCTAACGGACTGGCTGCATTGGTGTTTTCGTGGTTTTCCCCATGTGTAACGTGTATACGAGCCAGTTTCCTTTAAAACGCCCTCCACGAAGGCATCCCTTAAGGCAGATAGCCCTCGAATGCTTTGCCGTAATCTAATAAACCAAACCAACCAACCAATACCGCAGAAACAATTGGCGCAACTTTTGGAAGGATCTCCGCCAGCTTTCTTAGTTCGATAGTAGCCAACTCTCATGGTCGACGGGATAGTACGTAAGTACCGTAGAGAAAATAAGTATTGTGCGGTGAAGACGATACGTGTTACGATTCCAAATGGGAGAAGGCCGGAAATGTCTTTAATGCCTGTTTTAAAGTAACAGACTATAGTTCTTGCGCGATTTATATTAACCAATAAATCAATCAATCAAACATCCTGTTGTCTGTGAAATTTAGAGTGCATTGAAATATGATGCTGTAGCGTTTATTGTAGATTATCTAGATATTCTGTTTTTAAATGTTCTATTCTATTTTCACCTTTTTGATTTCAAAATATGCAATCACAATGCAAAATATCTAAGATAGGATAACTTCGGATATAAAGCTCACTACAGATGACGCTCACTATTAAGACTACTACCATTTTTTATAGCAACCGTTCCATTACATTAACTAGTGCAAAAAATTCACAATTCATAACAGTACATTTTCATATAGGAAACGCTCATCGTAACGTTTTTTAAGATGCGAGGCATTGTTATAATTAGAGACAGCTCAACTTAATTGTAATTCGATGTGAGAATTTAAATTCAGCATTGCTGAGCAAATTTGGAATGTCGATAGTGAGATTTAAGAATATTATTTAAATAATGAATAAATGTTTTAAGCACTATGCTTGCTTGTCGAATTTTTGAGTAAAACCTGACGAAAGCAGTAGCTGAGGAATAACTACCCAGACGCCTTGCTGCGGGATTTTAAGTAATGCTGTTCTTTGGTAGCCGTGGTACGCTGCATGTTCAGTTACGTAAGGTTCTGCCAAAATGGTAGAAACGAGAGCGGAAGAAATTAGTTTTGGCCATGAAAACAGCCAAAAATTGACAGAAACATTGACAAAAAATGACTAAACATGTGTTCTAGTACAATATATAGTGCAAAGAAATGCACAGGGTGTTGACAACATTCCTGACCAACTTTAACAGCTTGTTGCTTGATAATGGTCACACTTTCACAAGCAATGTTCAATGCTTTTGTGATTGCGACAAGTGACACTAATTGCAGAGCCTCGACATACGCACCATCAGTAACGGGAAAATCTCATGCCAATATTCCAGTTCTGTCTATGTATGGTTTCAACATTGGCGTGATCAATGACTGCAGTGACATTGCCGATTCTGGTCTACCGGTCTGCAATTTTTGACATTTTTAACCTTCAAAAATATCTTTAAGATAGCCTTACAGAAAGAAAAGGATTGAAAGAAAAGAAGCCAAACGAGTTATGTCAGGCGAACGTGGTGGCCACAGAATGGCTTCATCCATCTCGATCTAAGTGTTCGGGAAAGTTTTGTCAAGAAGACTGCGCACCCACAATGTCCTGTGTGGTGGTTCGCCATCCTGCTAAAAAATTACCTCTGGTTGACGATTCACCAACTGTGGCCAAATGTAATCAATGTGGTCAGTGTCAATGTATCGAGGTGAACTCCAATTGTTGTTTGTTCATGGACGAAAAATGGTCCTAAAACTTTGCCATACAGCATCCTACACCAAACACTCCCTTCTGGGCTATCCCGCTTCAACTCCTTGTGACACGAGGATTTTTAGATCTGAAAATCCTGACATTATGTGTATATTAAACCAAAACAAATTGTTATGAAGAAACTTGGATATACATTTAACAACACCGCAGACATTTCCAAAGCTACCTGTTACAGGGTGCCCACAAAAATAGGGTAAAGTTTTTCAAGGACTTTGCGGACATCCTGTACATTAAAATTAAACAAGCTGCCTAACCAGGCTAGTGGGTAGCGACTCTGATTGCCGTACTGAAGGACCCGAGTTCGAATACCGGAGAAGGCATGGATGTTTGTAAATGTAGAGTGTCTGTGCAGTATGGGGTACTCTAAATATGCGGCGAACCGAAAGTTTCGAGAGATTAGTGGTAGGGTAAGATTGGCGGGAGACGCTCGGTCTCTTCCCTTCCGGCAAAAGTCGTAATATCACCTGTATGGTGTCCAAGGCTTTTGCCAACAACAGACGCAATTTTGCTTCCTTGAAACGATTAATTTCGTGGACTTGCTTTGATATCAGACAAGCGAAAGATTATTGGAGCAAGAAACAAAAGATTTCTTACTCGAATTCTGCTTGTTCTTTACCACAAAGTAGTTTATCGCAGAAGACCAATTTCACTGTTGTCACAAAACCGAAAGAATTTCTTAATGTATTGTGAATAAATGAAAAGATGAAGAATATCCTTTAAAACCCAGCAGTAATTGTATGAAGGGTTATCGCTGCTGAAACAGGAGTTATCAATCTTAATTTGTGTTATCGTTAAATTAACAAACACGTAGAAGCTAAAATATTCTATTAGAGCTCATTGGAAAGATATGTTTGAGGAGCCGATTATGCGTGTAAAGCTATGATATGAGACCCAAACTTCAGATTTAAATTATGAAGTAGTAATGTCCTAGAAAGAAAACAAACAGTAGAAACAAACAGCTCTCTTAGTGAACCTTCTTTCTCATCAAATATCCCTGTTCTTTTAAGTCAAAAAAATTATCTATAACGGTTGTTGACCACTAGCTTTAATAATCGAGTAAGATTATAAGCAGAATGTTCATAAGTTTCAAGAAACAAACAGCTTTCTCGGGAATTCTCTTTTTCATTTTTACTATTATAAGAGCTTGTAATTTTTTATCGTATGGAAGTCAAACGCATTGCATATTATTTCCTAAAATGAGTAAAACTTTTACGATAATAAAATTGTTACTATATATAACTATATGAACCAGATGTTTGTATAAAATTTTAAAATATAAAAAAATTATAAAATTCACTTTTTTTAAATTAAAAAATACAAAAGCATTAATATCTGTTTTATTTAAAACATTTTTGCAACTGGTGGTATATGTTTATGACGAACGGTTGCGAAAATAAAGGCTGCATGAGGACTTTATTGATTCGTTGTATATTTTGTGCAAAGACATGCATCAAATCGGTTTATGGCATGAGTGATGATACATTTCAAATGATGTTTAGTACATAATCAGGTTGAGCTGTTTGCATAATTTTAAAATAGGTTTTTAAATTTTTACATTCATGTTTTTCAATAAATAAAAAAGGAAATTATTTGAATAGAAAAGTGCATTGTAAAATAATACGAAAACATGATAACTTTAAAAAATTTCGACAATACAATAAAAATTAGTATTAAATAAATGAAGTAAAAAAATCTTCTTTGAAGTAAAATTTTCTTACGTCTTTAGTAAAAACAGCTCTGTTTTCTTCAATCATTTCTTCCAGTTGTTCTTCGTTCACTTGTTGACCTGCTGTAAATATAAGTTTTAGGATTAATTCTTTTCATCTATTTAAAAACTTTCATTCAGCAGTTATTATTCTTTAGTCACAGTTTAAAATTAAGAATTTAAATCTGTATAATATATATTAGTAAACTTTTAAAATATTTTACAGTTTCTGTCCCATTATGTCATTTTAAGATGAAACTACAAGAGTAAATTATAAATTTTTATAAGTGAATGAATAATATTAATTCACTTTAATACACTCATTGTCATAAAAATTTTTACGGCAAGAAGTAGTTGTCGGATCGTAATGGAACTAGCCGTGAGGAGCTATTCAGGCAGAGATGCAAATTATTAGAAAAACAGAATGATTGTGCGTTAGGTAATGCCAACAGAAGGCGTTGAAATTCATTCTCTCTGTACATAAGAAATATATGCAGAGGAATTTTCCTGCACTTAATTAGTTGCAGAGAGGAGCTTTATCAATACAGATGCCATTACACAGCCTTCGAAGACAATATGATCAGCTGTCAGAGCTCGAGAGGGGAAGAATCATCGAGATGATGGATGGTGGGTAGTCTGCTAAGCGCCACCTAAGCGGTTCTGACTCTTAACCTTGAGAAGCTCTTGGGGTAAGGGGACGAGAGAGGAGTCGCACACACAGTGTCCAGGTTCAGGACACCTTTGGCAGACCAATATCCAAGAAACCATAGCATCATCTGACACGGGCATGCGGTGCCAACTTCATCATTGTACTCCTTGGGCACAGCAGTACTTCCAGTATGGGCCTCTATCGTATCATCGCGAGACGCCAGGCTGACACGCGACGCCTATTTCATGTGCTGCCAATAACACCTGCCCACCGTTACCTTCGTCTGGAGAGCGTTGTCGCGATCAATCGGATTGGACCGGAACCAGGTCGTCTTCAGCGACGAATCGAGATTCAGTTTGGGCATTGATGCAAATTGCGTATGTCTATGGAAGCTCCGTAGTGAATACCTCATTGCTGTCTTCGCGTTACAGCACCACATCCCTTTCACAGCTGGTGTTTGATGGTACAAGGTGCCCCATATCGATCTACGCCATCGCAACAGACGTGCGACATGTTTATAACATCCTTCAGCTATGTATGTGTCCATTCGAGGCTGGGCTCACAGGATGGTATTTTCAACAGGATATTGCTCAGCCACACGCAACAAAAGTGTCACAGGAATGCCATGCACTGACTACCAATCAGTATTTGGACACCTGTGATAGAAAAGAAAAACTAACTTTATTCAAAATCAATAATTGGTAGAGCCTCCACGAGAGGTAATTACAGCGTGGAACCTCCGGGGCATACTTTCCACAAGTCTTTGTATGACAGCTAGTGGTATTTTCTTCCACTCGGCTTGGAGGAGACATAGAAGTTCCTTCACCGATTTTGCACGGGTAGTGCACCCCTGAATTCGGCGATGCAACTCGTCCCAGAGGTTCTCGATAGGGCACCAGGCCAGTCCATTAAATTAAGCCTTGGTTAACGTCGAAACATGACAAACTGGCATTGTCGTCCTGAAAGTAACAGGGGTCCAACCCGTAAAACTGCCACAACGTAGGAAGCACATTGTCATCCAAAATAGTGCAGTAGGCATTGGAGTTGAGCTTACCATGAATGGGGACAAAGGGTCCCAGCCCATACCAGGAGAAACACCCAGACCATAATTCCACCTCCGCCGAACTTGACTGTTGGCACAATGCATTCTGGCAGGAGATGTTCTCCAGGGAGACGCCAGACCCAGACCCTGCCATCCGAACGGTAAAGGCTGAACCTTGATTCGTTACTCCAAAGAACTCGTTTCCACTGATCTACGGTCCAATTTCGATGTGCTTTGCACCACATGAACCGAGCAGCGCGGTTGGACTTTGTGATCAAAGGCTTATGGGCAGCAGCATGACCATGAAAACCAAGCAGATGTGCTTCCTTATGGATGGTATTCATCGAAACAATACTCATGGATGCCTCTTGAAACTCCTCTCGGGCACATTTCGTCAATCACCGCTCACCTTCCACTTCTTAATCACATAGGTCACTGTCGATTTTGGGTACTTCAGATCGCTAGATATGTCCCTTAAGGATCGGCCACATTTGTGATACCCGTTAATTATGCCTTTCTCGAAATCAGAGAGCTCCGAACTGCGAAGCATCTTGCATGCTACTAAAGCCGATGCTGTTTCCTACACGATATATACTGGCGGAGTCCGGGACGTACCTTAGGACCGCAGATAGCGTCATTTACATAGGTGTTCAAATACTTATTGGTATTCAGTGTATTACAACACGCATGTCTGGGATTACTTCGGACTGCAAGTTGGGCAGCCTAGGAATTTGGTCGAACAACAGCGGCGCGCTTACAATAACTGCGCAATGAGATCAGCACGACACCGTATAGGTGTGTTCATACTATGGGTGATTAAACAAGATATTATAATCTCCATCCATTTAGAATTTATTCTGGAATAAATGATTCGTTTGTTTTGATTTGTAAGCACTTACTTATATCAGTGTTACACTCACATATTTAAAATGTCGTTCAATTCTGAGAACTGTTTTTTGCCGCTTAAGTTTTAGTAATAATGAGTAAGTAACATCAGAAGTCCTTCTGGATTGAAATGTACACTTGATGTTAATTGGCATTAGACAGAATTAAGTCATAACTTATTTATATAACAGCCAGGTACTTAAAGTATAATTCTATGAAATCTATCCTGAAATTGTCAATTTCAGGACTTATATGGGAAGATCCATCGCCGCAGAACGTTTTTATTGAAGATCTGAAATTAAAGGATGTACAGCATTCTCTACTGTATTTCGAATAGTCTTGTCAGCAAGAATAAGCTTAAGTTTCGAAAGCTCTTGACCTTGTTACTTTTCTTGACGGGAAGTGTACTAAGATGAATGTGAGAAACCAAACGAAATTCAGGGCTTATTTAAGCAGCTAGTGTTTTCTACAGAAAATTTCGCATTTACGTTACAATTCGGGAAAACCATGAAAACACTTGTATTCGCAAACGTTCGAACGTCTTCAGCGGCCTTATTCTCTCGATCACAGGCATGCATTTGAAGAGAAGAAAAAATTCTCACTTCTCGCAAAACTGTATAATATATAACGAACCATTTAGAGTTCTAGGTTAACAAATTCCTAAGCGTATTTTTGTGCCGAATAGTAAAAGATCTAAAACAATATGCCCATTTGTATTACACCAAATTATACAGTAAGTAAAAGCAATTTTTTTATTATGTCTTAAATTTTAAAATAATTCAGTACCGCTCTTTTAGTAGTACAAAGAATACCCCAATCGTATTCAATTTCTCGCGATGCGTTCATCAACCTTTGGAAATTATACTTTTAATGACTTAACGCAAATTATTGTTTAAACCCAACACTGCTGTATAATTTGCTGCTTAAATATGGTGTTATAAAAAATTTCCGTTTTAAAAAGACTTAGGTTCAGAACCGGGCTTGGGTGGGCTCTGACTGAATTTAAGTTCTGCTTTTCATTTCGTTTAATGAATGGCTCTATGCCATCAAAAATAATTTGAATATTTATTCTCAAAATGTTCCATAACTGATCTTTTCACCCTGTGATCATCATGAAATCTCTTTCCACGAAGATTAGATTTCAGTTTGAAGGAAATTAGTAATAATCACGTGCAGCTAAACTTGGTTTATACGCTGGAAAAGAGAGTGGGTCTTAGAACTCTGATTTAGAAGCTCTTTAAGAATCCGCGGCTCAGTATTCCGCGCCTTTTTTCTTTAATTTCGTTTCGCAATGCATACAATATTTTCCATTCCGATTATGTTGTTTTCTGTAGAGTCTATATGGAAGATCTTCTGACACTCTCTAAAAATGGTGGACGTTGTCTCATTCGTTGATTGTTGCACCTTTGCTTCTTTGGTGGTGTGCTTCACCATTTATCTCCAAACCATTGACTGATTTCCGATGGCAGATCATAGAAGATCTACTGGACCATTATTTCATTATCAGTTAATATCGACTGCAACATTTCTCTGATTTGCTTCGGAAAGCTGTGACAACTGCTCACAACAAAAGACGTATTGCTGTTTTTGAACGGATGAAGAAAATCAGGGTGCGCATTTTATAGAGACATTGTTCATGTAAAATTAGCAAAAGTGTTGTTTTAGATCGACCCAATCTTGCTACTTTTTTAATTTTTTTTATTTCTAAGCTCTTATCACTTAATATTTCTGTCTTAGACACGAGTAATATTTTCTGATGCCAATGTCTCCATTGGTGGACTCTTACGAGAATTATCTTCTACGACCATCGGGCCATGCAAAATTGTGTTACCTATTGTTTTACCTCTAGACTTTTATCACTCAGTATTTCCTCTTGGACACAAGCATTATTTTCTGATGTCAGTGCCTCCATTGCTGCCATCCCGCAAGAGCCATCTTCTAGGATTATCGGCTCAACCACGATTGTTTTGCCTATTCTTTTTACTTCCTTGTATGAAGTAAAAAGGAAGTATTGTAATCGCGAAAAGTTCAGGCAGCATATTTCAACGAAAATATCTATTTTGACTGCTATCAATTGCAATTTAACGATGTTTTTGCGTGATATCTGTACGTAAGGACAGAATAAAAGACTCTTTTCCTCGAAAAAAATTATAAAACTGCTTTAAAATGAATTCTGAAGAGAATTTTTCGTGGCGTCTGTACGTACGTACGTACGTATCTCGTGTAACTCAAAAACGAGTAGCTTCAGAACGTTGAAATTTTGTATATAGGACTGCTATAACATGTAGATGTGCACCTCGTATTTTGGTTCAATCGGCCGCACGAAACGTATATAAATATATTTATATATATATCCACTCTGTTACCCGGCTCAGTGATCTCAGTTTCTTTACTCTTATATGTTTGTAAATTATACATTTTTTGCTTTAAAAATGATTGAATTATGTTGTACTTATTTTCCGGTTAAGGTTTTTATGCATTTAGTAAATCTGTATGCAATATTTTTAG